AAACCTCTCTGGAGGTCAATTTGGCAACTGGGATTAAACTCTCCATAATGTGCACTTAAAAAAAAAAAAGATCACTTACTACTGACAATCTTGTGATTATTGCCAATCAAAAAAATACAACTAAAAATTACAATCTTCTGTGAAGGGCAGAGGTTAAATTTTTAGAGAAGGTACAGAAAAAAAAAATTTTAGAGAAGGTAATTTTTGCAACCAAAATATTAGTCGTTCAAAGCTCCCAAGTAACCAGTGGGAGAACATTGTTAAGAGTCAGTTTCAGTCAAGATTGTTGTTGTGTTTCTATACCCCTGAGTCAGAACCAATCTATCACTGACCCTCCTGCAGGTTTTCAGAAGCAGTTAATCCCATATGAGGAGATTGCCAATCTTTCTCCAAGGGAGCAGCTGGTGGATTTGAACTGCACAATTTTGAGTTACTAGTGAAATTCAGTGGTCAGAACTGTTATTAAGTCACTATCAGTTAGATTCAACTTGATGGCAACAGGTTGTATTGTTCTGTCTTTTAATCTTTGATACATTGTTAGTCACAAACAATGCCTATATTATTGAATAGTCCATCACAGTACTGGAAGGAACTTTTATTTGCAATTAGAAAGTCTGATTTACAGACTTTATTTTCACGACTTATTAGCTACATGAAGTAACAACTGAAGTCTCAATTAATTTCCCTATCTACAGATATATAATAAAAGTATCTCTCTTATCATATCTAGATAATATGAAGATAGTGTGAATAAACAGTATTTTTAAATTAAAGTCATGTAAGAGCTATACATTGAACAATGTTGAAAAATAATTCTAAGTATAAGCTGAGGAAATGATAGAGAAAATTAGTAGCACGAAGAACTGTAGACATAAAACGCAATCAAATGTAATCTGAAGATGAAGGGATATATTGGCTAGAATGATGATTTTTGTTTTCTTGATATTATGATGTAACCCGTATTGAAAGCTATAATCTTTGATCTGCAGCTAGAACTTCAAGTACTTTTCACTTTTTGCAAGCAAGGTTGTGTCATTTGTACAATTCAAACTGCTGGTAAATCATAACTGTTACAGATAGTCATATATAATATCGGTTTATCAAATGCCTGTCTGAATTTATGGTAAACAGTGTACCCTTCTAGACACACACATTCACACACACCCTAACATTAAGCATTTCCAGATATACTAAAACATCTTTAACATAAAAATATAGTAAAAATAATGCTTTAAAGCATGTCACAAAGTAGCACTCATTAGTTATTACAGACCTTTGTATGTACCTTATTATTATCATAAATTCTATGGAACAGAGCAGGAAAGGGGTGTTGGTCTGTGCCTTAGAGTTTGTATGTGAGGAGGTTCTAAACCAGAAACTGCCTGTATAAAATTCACTGATCTTGCTCCACCAGAAAACCCATATTAAGAAACCGTGACTTGTGTCAAGCCTCACAGATACACACACTCACACACAGAGGCATGTTTAAGATACTGCAAGTATGGTACTTGAAAGGGACATAGCTAAGCTGTTTCTAGAAATATGATCGTTTACAGTGACTACTGTAAAAACATTCAACAAGCTAAAACTAGTACTTTTTGTATTACAGAGCCTCCATTGATCAAGATAGACTACCATCTTTTGTTCTCACTGAAGTGCCTATCGAGTGCCTATTTATGAGCAGACTTTACCTCCAACTACTTCCTTGGTGAGTGACATCAGGCTTGCGAAGGCGGAGGGACAGCAAAAGAGAGGAAGAACCTCTATACCAGGTGGGTTAACATGATGACTGCAACCATGAGCGTGTCAGTGATTGTAAAGATGAAACGGGATAGGACGATGTTCAGACTGTTTGTTCATAGAGTCACTATGAGCTTATATTCAACCTAATGGCAACTAGCAACAACAACATTGTTCATAGAGTTTTCCAAAGCCCGTTATTTCAGAAGTGAATGGCTAATCCTGTTTACTAGTCTGCCTTAATCTCGGAGCTCTGCTGAAACCTGTTCACCCTGGGTGACCTCTGGCATCAAACATCAGTGGCATAGCTTCCAGTATCACAGAAACCTACAAGTTATCCTAGAACAGTAAACTGACAGACAGGGGCTATAATGATAAAAGCAAAACATAAACTATAAAGTAATTATCAACATGCTAATCAATGCAATCATTTGATGTCCAGCCTCATTTCTGTAACCAGGACAGATTTAGCCCTGAATGTGCTTACTGGTCTGTGCCAGAAATTTGGAGGACAATTATAGCTTTCTGGCTTGAAAAAAAATTCATATTTTTCCCATTCCTAAGAAAGGTGATCCTGAAGGGGTGAGGCTCACGTCATGAAGGAGGAGAGATGATACTGTGTCCTTTGAAGGTCATCTCATCTGCTATGGCTCTGGTTCACAGGGATGTGGTCCCCTGACATCAGGCAACTGTGTCGGACCAGCTTCCTGAAGCCCTTGCCTTCCAGCCTAGAATTGGCACAGGGTAGTATATCAAGGTGAAGAAGCTTGTTCCATAGGAATGTAAGGGATACAATCCCACAGGTCCCTAGGTAGGGCTAGGCAATGACTGGGAGCCCATAAGGTCAGTGACCCCCTCCCAGGCTGCATGCCAAAACATTGGTGTCCATCCCTGAATTTCCAGAAAGGGTCCCCCCTTTTGCATTACCTTAATAAACATTTTTTCACTTGTTTCGCTAAATTAAAAAAAGGTAATCCAACAGAATGTGGAAATCATCAAACAATATTATTAATTATTATTCCCATCTTCTGCTCTAACTCATTTTTCTTAACTCTGAAATATTCCTCTCATTAGGATGCTGGAGATGATCATAAGGTGGGCTGTGTGCTGGACACATGCTCGTGGGTACGGATGTACATGATATGCCTCCCTCCAGAAAAGATTCCTGTTTTCAGGGTTTCAGCATTGCCTCTACCTTAAAATGTTCAGGACTGTTTTGTTGAATGTTGAAACAGAATAATTTTTTTTTAATTACTTTGAGCACATTGTAGACCAACATTTTTTTGGTGGAAATACAGAAAATCAAATTGTAATTTTCATTTAGTGCTATAACATGCTATAAGCAAAAGGTTAACAAGCTTGCCTTATATTTTTGAGCTGATATTATAGTAAATTTACCTGGAAGATAGGTGTCAGACGTTTGGAAAAGACATGATTTCACATTAGTGCTATTTTCTATAGATTGAGTCATAGTACACATTGACTGTTTCTTTGGATGACTTCACAAGGAACTGATACAAACATGCATACTAGCAAGAATAACCAGCTAAATAAAAGAATGGGATGAAAACTTTTTCATCTTTATATGTTTTGAATTTACACTATGTGCATGTATGTATGTTGTTGTTTTTGTTGTTAAGTGCTGTCTAATTGTAGATGACTCATAGCAACCTTCAACACTTGCGTGACTTTCATCTTTTCTCCAGGTTCACAGGGTTTCCGGAGGCAAGCTATTACAGAAGTGGATGCCACTCCGGTTTCCAAGCTTGTTTTAATTGGGGAGCTCTACCAAACACTAACGTGCACCTGATACAGGCCATGGTCTTTGTAATCACTTGCTATGTATCGGAGAGCTGGACAATGACTAGGGATGACAGAAGGAGAACTGATGTCTTTGAGCTGTGGTGCTGGAGAATAGTATTGAATGCACTATGGACTGCTAGGAAAACAAACAATTTCATCCTGGAGAGGGTGAAGCCAGGCTGCTCCTTGGAGGCAAGGATTCTGGGGCTTTGTCTGACATAGTTTGGACATATTGCAAGGAGTGACCAGTCCTTGGAGAGGGATGTCATGCTTGGGAGGGTGGATGGACAGCTCAGGAGAGGAAGACCCTCGAGGAGATGGATTGTTTCAGTGACTTGGGTAAGAGGAGTAGGTGTATCGGAGATGATGAGTTTGGCATAGGATGGGGCAGAGTTAGGGCTGTTGTACATAGAGTTGCTATGAGTCACAGGCGACACGACAGCACATAACAACAATAATAACCACCAAACACTTTCAACCATAGGTAACCATTATTGCATTTGAGACATCAGTGTCACAGTGTTCAGCTTCACAGCAACAACAAGTTACCTCTGTATGGCAAGCTTGACCAAAAACAATTAAAAACAGGCCTGAGGGCCATTAGTCACCTACCTTTTGTTTGGTAGCATCACTTTCTGTCCACTAGGCCAACTGATCTTGCTCTATATAAAACTAAAATTACACACTTCTCCAAAGAAATATTAAATGGTTTATTGTTTTTATAAAAGTTACAGACATTTCTAAACATACAAATAAAACAGTTATCAAAGCCAATTAGAAAGCATGGCTTCGCATGCGTATCTATCTATCAACTATCTATCTATCTATCATCTATCTATCTCTTTGTGTATACACTTGTACATAGCTTCATGTATACACTTATATATGTGTTTATATACACAGCATGGTGAAGATAATTTTTCTTTTATTAAAACTCAACAATACAATTATCATATTGTATATATTTTTACAAGCATTTCAGGGATTTATGTTTCTGATTTGCTAAGTACTGATTGTAGTAGGGAAATGGCACAATTTATTTCCAGATATTACTTTAGCACACAAATGTTAAGAGGAAATGACTGTGCAATGTTGTATACTGATTTCAGAAAATGCTGTTTACAGTATTTTACTTTTATGCAAAGACAAAATTTAAGCCTAAGTAACATTTTTTTCTTTGTAAATCACATTACAGTTTTGTTAACAGAATTCTAGGAACAGTGTCTAAAAGAAAGAGAAATTATACTATTAGGAAATTATACCCTAATCTCCATTTCTAAACTATGTATTTTTCTGAATATATTTTTATTATTATTAATTTTTCTAAATAGTGTTAAATAAAACAAACTTTAAAAACAACAAATGGAGACATATTTTTTAAAAGAACTTTCTGCTTCTGTTTCTAAACTGTTTTTAAACCAAAAATACTTTTTTATTTTTAATTTTGAGGAGTACTTTTATTTTTCTTCTAAAAAGAGATTATGCTCTGATTCTATAGTCCCTTTATTTAAAGTATTTTGAAAAAGGAGATTATCTTCTCTGAGCAAAACTTCTAAGTAACTGTCAATCTGCTCCAGATCTCCTGCTGGATCCCCCTAGGAAAGAGAAGTAAGAATCAAACCACGAGCAGAGGCCGCACGCTAACCCCTGAATCTGGGCAGCCTCCAGCAGTCTTCTTTATGGTTCACGTTGGAACCAAACCCATCCTGCATTTGAATGATGCTTTTAATGCTTCAAAATATTTTTTACATTTATTTTCAATATATGCTCACAACTTGTTAGGCTTTTTGATCCCTTTTCTCTCCTTAATGGATATCTGAAGATTATTTCAACCTTACCCCCTCATTTCTTTTTATTTACATATTATATTCCAAAACTATTGTCCCTGGCTGGGGGCAGAGGAGAGGGAGCCTATTTTTTTATCTTACAGGCTCTTTTCCTCTATTTTCTTAAACTTACTGTGTTTTTTTCTCTCATATGAGTAAAAGCAAAAATGAAGGCCAGTTTTCACATCTCTGCTTCTCCTCAAAAATTAAAAGGAACACATAAAGACTGATATCCTACGAATTAGTGAGCTGAAATGGACTGATAATTGTTACTTTGAACTGGACTGTCGTATAGTCTACTTCTTCTGTCAGACGAAAAAGTGATGCCTTTGAGTTGTGGTGTTGGAGAAATGTACACAATAGCCATGGGCTGACAAAATAATAATTTTAAAAAGATGCTTGAGGAAAATATATTCAGAGTGCTCCTCAGAGGCTAGGATGGCAAAGTTTTGCCCTCCATATTTCATATATGAGACATGTTGTTAGGAGGGGATATTCTTTGGAAAAGGACATCATGTTAGGAAAGATTAAGGGGCAACAAATGACAGGAAGACCATTATATGTATGGCAATAGCCCAGAATAAGAAGTGCATTGCAAAGAGGACTGGGTGTGGGGAAAGAGGAGGTAGGGATGTAATTGTGCAATAATGAATGAGTATTTTTTAAAAAAGTGAACTGGGAAAGGGGGAAGGGAGAGGGCTAAAAATATGCAACAATGACTGAATGAAAATCTAACTTTTCTGTAAACCTTTGTTAAAATTTCAATTAAAATAAAAACATATTTAAAAAAGACTAAATTGCATCTAAGAATTAAAAAAATTAAGACACAGAGAGAGAGAGAGAGAGGAAGACCCTCAGTGAGACTGGTTGGCACCACGACTGCATGTACAATATTTCTCAAGCTGAATGTTCTGAAGAACAAATTGAACTCTTAAGTGGCAATACTGATGGATCCTATAGGCAAAATGTTGAACAATACAGGAAGTATCCAAAAAGATGAAAGGCATACAGAGTCACTGTACCAAAAAGTATTGCTTGACACTGAGCCAAAAAGAACTGGTGGGCATTGAACCATTACAGGAAGAAGCATATGACCAAAACCCAATGGTAATGAAAGAAGAAGTTCAAACAGCACTGGAAGCAATGGCAAAAAATGAAGCCCCAGGAAATGGCAGAATACGAACTGACATGAATACAACATGACAACAGAATACCAAATGACATGAACAGCAAGCAACAAATGCTGGTAAGGTTGTGATGAGACTGGAACCCTTATTCACTGTTGGTGGTTGGTGGGAGTGTAAAATGGTGCAACCCCTGTGGAAAGCGATGCAGCCCTGAACAAGCTCACTAGTCTATACAAAGACTAGATATACCTGACCAGATGCTTTAGAAGAGATTCATATCTGTTCTAATTTTAAAAAAAATGATTAGGCAGATTCTGAAAATGAACAATATCACTAATATCACAAGCAAGTAAAATCTTGCTAGAGATTATTAAAAAAACAGCAGGGTCAGTACAACCATAGGGAACTTCCAAAACTCAAGCTGGATTCAGAAGAGGGCATAGCACAATGGATAACACGGTTGATGTCGGCTAGATCTTGGCTGAAAAGAGAGAATACCAGAAGATGTTTACTAATGTTTTATGATTATGTAGAGGTATTTGACTGTGTGGATCATTGTTGTTGTTGTTTGATGCCGTCGAGTCGTAGACGACTCATAGAGACCCTATGAATGAACAGCCTGAGCACTGTTCGTACATAGAGTTTCCGGAGGCAAGCCATTTCGGAAGTGGATGCCACTCCTGCTTCCAGGCTTGATTTAGTTGGGAAGCTCCAGCCAACACTGTCCACCATGGGTACCCATTACCACGATTGGCACATCACTGTCACAGTCTTCAGCATCACAGCAACTACGAGTTACCTCTGTACAGCAACGCACAGACCAGTGCTATACCACCTGCATGTCAAACATATTCCCGGAAAAGCAGTCGACTCCAAAAGCTCGCCACGATTCCTGTGCTCCCACCACCATGCTCCTTCCTTCTGGCAAGGAGAGCTTCCCAAGAGCCTGGGAGGAGCCAACGAAACCAGGAACAACTGTGTGGATCATAGCAAATGAAAACTAACACTGAGAAGAACAGAAATCCAGAACACTTAATTATACTCATGAAAATTCGATATATATACATAGAAGCAAGTGTCTGAACAGAACAAGGAAACTGCATACCTTGAAATCAGAAACAGTGTATTTGTCATGGCTGTATCCTTTCTCCATACCTATTCAATCTGTATGCTGAGAAAATAATTTGATAAATTGGACTATAGGAAGATAAGTGTGGCATCAGGATTGGAGGAAGACTCATTAAGCACCTATGTTATGCAGATGCCATAACCTTGCTTGCTGAGACTGAGGAATACCTGAAGTATCTGCTGCAGAAAGTCAAGGACTATAGTCTTCAATATGGATTGAAGTTGAAGATCAAGAAAACAAAGATTCTCATCATTGGGTCAAGTGTTTTCACCATGATGGGAAAACGTTGAGGTTGTCAACAATTTCAACTTGCTCAGCACCACAGTGAACATTCTTTTTTTTTTAAATTAAATTTTATTAATGCTAATGAACATTTACAGATATTTTGGGTATCCATTCATTCATTGCTGCACTATTTTCTTTACCCTCCTCCCCAGTTCGTTCCTCTTTTTCCCCCCTTCAAAGTCTGTTTTAATTGTCCAATTGCCACAGTGCTTGTCAAAGCCAGTTCTGATTAATTTCCTTTGTCAGTGTGTCCTTTGCCATTCCCTATCGCTCCTCCCTGAGAGAGACTTCACCCTGATTCGTAAGGAAAAGGGGATCGCGTATTCTCTTAGCTACTTCCTGCTGAAAAGGGATGCTATAGGTTTCAGGGTGAATATCTTCTCTCCACAGTGAACATTCTTTACACCAGCAGTCAAGAAATCAAAAGACAAATTGCATTGGGGAAATCTGCTCTCAGGGACATTGTAAAAGAGCAATGATATCAGTCTAGATACTAAGGTACACATGATTCAGGCTATGGTCTTCACAATTACTTGTTATGTATCAGAGAGTTGGATAATGACTAAATATAATAGAAAAAGAATCAATGATTTTGAATTGTGGTACTTGTTGTTGTTAGATGCTATCAAATTGAGTATGACTCATAGTGACTCTATGAGCAAAAGATCTGAACCCAGTTCTGTCCTGCACCATTCTTACACTTCCTGACACACAAGAGCCCATTGCATCAGTCATCGTGTCAATCTAAGTGTTTGAGAGTCTTCCTTTCCTTTGCCCACCCTCCATCCTTCACAACATCATATCCTCCAAGGAATGGCACCTCCTAGCAACCTGTCCAAAGTATGTGAGGTGAAGCCTCATCATTTTCCAGAGTAGTCTGGCAGCACCTTCTCTAAGACATATCTGTTCTTTCCCTTGGCTGTCTATAGGATGTTCAGTGCTCTTCTCCAACACCATAGCTCAAAAGTGTCAATTCTTTTTCTGTCACCTTATTCTTGTTCAAGTCTCAGATGTATAGCTAGTAATCAGAAAGACACACTTTAGTCCTCAAATAGACATCACTACTCCTCCATAATTTGTAAAGTTCCCTAACTGCATATTTTTCCAGTGCAACGCCTCTCTCTATTTCCTGACTGCTGGTACGACATGTGTTAATTGTGGATCTAGGCAAAAAGAAGCGGCTGACAGTTTCAACCTCCCCTCCTTCTACCATGACATTGCTTAATATTTGCTCCTACATCAAGAGGCAAAGAGGAAGACATTGAGAATTTGTACCAAATTTTGTGGTCTGAAATTGACCACACATGCAATCAGGATCCATTAATAATAATTATATAATGATATTATAAAACATCATTATATAAAATATTATTATTAATATATTATGATAATGACTGAAATACAAAAGTAGGAAACAGTGAAGAAGGAACAGTAGTTGGAAAATATGGGATTTGTGATAGAAATGAGGCTGGAAACAGAATGACTGAATTTTGTATTTGTAATGGTTTATTCATTGCAAATACTTTTTCTAAAAGACACAAAAGATGACTTTACACATTGATTTCACCTGATGAGCTGCATAGGAATCAGACTGACTATATTTGTGGAAGAAATTGTTGGAGAAGCTCAATATCACCAGTTAGAACCAGGCCAGGGGCAGACTATATGTCAGATCATCAATTACTCATATGCAAGTTCAAATTGAGGCTAAAGAAAATTAAATCCGCAGGAACCAAAACACAATCTTGAATCAATTCCGTCTGAATTTCACGATCATCTTAAGAATAGGTTTAAGACATTGAACACCACTGATAGAAGACTAGATGAGTTGTGGGATGATATCAGGGATACCATCCACGAAGAAAACAAAAAGTCATTACAAAATCAGAGGAGAAAGAAAAAATAAAAATGGATGTCAGAGAGACTCTAAAGATTGTACTGGAGCATCAAGAAGCCACATCTAAAGGAAAACATGATGAAGTAAAAGAGCTGAACTGACGATTTCAAAGGGCAGTTTGGGAGGACAAAGCAAAGTATTATAATGGAATATGGTGCGGGAGAATGGATTAAACATATCATGGCCCACTAAGAGAACAAACAGGTCTGTTCTGGTCTGTACTGGAGAGGGGGAAACCAAACTGCTTGCTGTAACCAAGGACTATGAAGCTCTGTCTCATATACTTTAGGTGAAAGACCAGGTTGAATCAATCCTTGGAGAAGGACATCATGCTTGGAATGGTGAGAAGATGGAGCAGGAGAGAAAGACCCCAGATGAGATAGACTGATACAGAATGGTCGGTTACAGGGGGTAGGTGTGTTGAAGACAATTAGACTAGCTCAGGATAGGGTAAGGTTCAGTACATAGGGTCACTATGAGTCACAGGCAACTGAATGGTATATAACAACAGCAACAATAATTGACATTAACAGCAAATGTCATTAAAAAACAGGGCATTAACTTTATTTTAATACTTGTATCATTATCACTGATGTCTAAACCACCAAAGTAAAAATGTTTTATATTTTCAAATTAAGGGTGGGGTAAGAGATGGGCAATCTCTTCCTGTGCAATTGACTGCCTCTGAAAAACTCACTGGAGGGTCAGCTATGGGTTGGTTCAAATTCTACGGTAAACAACAAGTATATAGTTAGTTAGTTAGATACATAGAGATATAGTTATATAGATATGTTGTTGTTGTTGTTGTTATGTGCCATTGAGTTGCTTGCAACTCATAGCGACCCTATGTACAACAGCCCTATACTCTGCTCTGTCCTGTGCCAATTGCACCGTCTCCACACACCCATCCCGATTACTCCAGTCACTGAATCAATCCACCTCATAGGGGGCCTTCCCCTTATGTGCTGTCCCTACACCCTACCAAGCATGACGTCCCTCTCCAAGGACCTGTCCCTCCTTGCAACATGTCCAAAGTATGTCAGACGGAGCCTTAGAATCCTTGCCTCCAAGGAGCAGCCTGGTGTGACCCTTTCCAGGATGAATCTGTTTGTTTTCCTAACAGTCCATGGTACCCTCAATACTCTTCTCCAGCACCACAACACAAAGGCATCAATTCTCCTTCTATCCCCCTTAGTCATTGTCCAACTCTCTGATACATAACAAGTGATAGCAAAGACCAAGGCGCACTTTAGTCTCCAAAGAGACACCATTGCTCTTCAGTACTTTGGAGAAGTCCCTAACAGCAGACTTTCCTACGGCAATACGTCTTCTAATATCCTGGCTGCTGGTGCCGAGAGTGTTGACTGTGGAGCCAAGCACACTGAAGCTGTGAACAATCTCAATCTCTTCACCATCCATTCCGATGCTGCCAATTGGCCCAGTGGTGAGAATCTGTCTTCTTGACATTGAGCCTCAATCCATATTGGAGGCTGCAGTCCTTGACACTCTGCAGTAAGTGCTTCGGGTCCTCCTCAGTTTCAGCAAGCAGGGTTGTGACATCTGCATAATGCAGATTGTTAATAAATC